TATGATCCTCTCAATAGATGCAGAAAAAGCATTTGACAATGTACAGCATCCTTTCTTGATCCAAACTCTTCAGAGTATAGTGATAGAGGGTACCTACCTCAATATCATAAAAGCCATCTATGAAAAATCCACAGTGAATATCATTCTCAATGGGGGAAAAACTGAGAGCTTTCCCCCTAAGGTCAGGAACACGGCAGGGATGTCCACTATTACCACTGCTATTCAACATAGTACTAGAAGTCCTAGCCACAGCAATCAGACAACAAAAAGAAATCAAAGGCATCCGAATTGGCAAAGAAGAAGTCAAACTCTCACTCTTTGCAGATGATATGATGCTTTATGTGGAAAACCCAAAAGACTTCACCCCAAAACTGCTAGAACTCATACAGGAATTCAGTAAAGTGGCAGGATATAAAATCAATGCACAGAAATCAGTTGCATTTCTATACACCAACAAGACAGAAGAAAGAGAAATTAAGGAGTCGATCCCATTTACAATTGCACCCAAAACCATAAGATACCTAGGAATAAATCTAACCAAAGAGGCAAAGAATCTGTACTCAGAAAACTATAAAATACTCATGAAAGAAATTGAGGAAGACACAAAGAAATGGAAAAACGTTCCATGCTCATGGATCGGAAGAACAAATATTGTGAAGGTGTCAATGCTACCTAGAGCAATCTACACATTTAATGCAATCCTTATTAAAATACCATCCACTTTTTTCAAAGAAATTGAACAAATAATCCTAAAATCTGTATGGAACCAGAAAAGACCCCGAATAGCCAGAGGAATGGTGAAAAAGAAAAGCAAAGCTGGTGGCATCACAATTCCGAACTTCAAACTCTATTACAAAGCTGTAATCATCAAAGACAGTATGGTACTGGCACAAAAACAGACACATAGATCAATGGAACAGAATAGAGAGCCCAGAAATGGACCCTCAACTCTATGGTCAACTAATCTTCAACAAAGCAGGAAAGAATGTCCAATGGGAAAAGAATATCCAATGGAAAAAGACAGTCTCTTCAACAAATGGTGTTGGGAAAATTGGACAGCCACATGCAGAAGAATGAAACTGGACCATTTCCTTACACCACACACAAAAATAGACTCAAAATGGATGAAAGACCTAAATGTGAGACAGGATTCCATCAAAATCCTAGAGGAGAACACAGGCAGCCACCTCTTCGACCTCAGCTACAGCAACTTCTTCCTAGAAACTTCGCCAAAGGCAAGGGAAGCAAGGGCAAAAATGAACTATTGGGACTTCATCAAGATAAAAAGCTTTTGCACAGCAGAGGAAACAGTCAACAAAACCAAAAGACAACTGACAGAATGGGAGAAGATATTTGCAAATGACATATCAGATAAAAGGCTAGTATCCAAAATATATAAAGAACTTATCAAACTCAACACCCAAAGAACAAATGATCCAATCAAGAAATGGGAAGAAGACATGAACAGATATTTTTCCAAAGAAGACATCCAAATGGCCAACAGACACATGAAAAAGTGCTCAACATCGCTTGGCATCAGGGAAATCCAAATCAAAACCTCAACGAAGTTGGCCAGCACGCCATCGCGCATGTGTATCAACTATGAAGGTGGGTGCTGGGCAGGAGGCTTTCGACTAATGGCGCAGGCACACCTGTTGGTGTCCTGATGGAGCAGCATGCTAGCCATCCCAATGGAAAAGCCAAAGAGGAAAGTAATGTCGTGCCTCTTTGTCGAGCCAAACCCTCCCCTAGCTTTATTAATCTTCAAGCAAGTTCTCCACCGGCCACTTTCTTGAACATCCAGAACACAAAGCTGCCCTCAGGAGTTGACCACAAGCCCAAGGAATTCCTGGGACTCCTAGAATGTATGTATGCCAATCTCCAGCTCCAGACCCAGTTCGCCCAACAACAGATGGCTATTTTGGAAAATTTACAAGCATCCATGACACAGCTGGCTCCTGGGAAGGGAAGCAAGAACGCTTCTCTCCCAGCCTTATCCCGCAATCTGTTGTTAAATCACTTGCCCCAGCTCAGTAAATGAATTGTGGAACACACACACAAAAAAACCTCAATGAGATACCACCTCACACCAGTCAGAATAGCTAAAATTAACAAGTCAGAAAATGACAGATGTTGGTGTGGATGCAGAGAAAGGGGAACCCTCCTACACTTTGGTGGGAACGCAAGCTGGTGCAGCGACTCTGGAAAACAGTATGGAGGTTCCTCAAAAAGTTGAAAATAGAGCCACCATACGTCCCAGCAATTGCACTACTGGGTATTTACTCCAAAGATACAAATGTAGTGATCCGAAGAGGGTATGTGCACCCCAATGTTTATAGCAGCAATGTCCACAATAGCCAAACTATGGAAATGGCCAAGATGTCCATCAACAGATGAATGAATAAAGAAGATATGGTATATATATATACAATGGAATATTATGCAGCCATCAAAAAACCAAAATCTTGGCATTTGCAACGACATGGATGGAACTAGAGGGTATTACGCTAAGTGAAATAAGTCAATCAGAGAAAGACATGTATCATATGACCTCACTGATATGAGGAACTCTTAATCGCAGGAAATAAACTGAGGGTTGCTGGAGTGGTGTTGGGTGGGAGGGATGGGGTAGCTGGGTGATAGACATTGGGGAAGGTATGTGCTATGGTGAGCACTGTGAATTGTGTAAGACTGATGAATCACAGATCTGTATCTCTGAAACAAATAATACATTATATGTAAAAAAAAAAAAAAAAGATAGTAGGAAGGGAAAAATGAAGGGGGGGAAATAGATAGGAGGGGGAGATGAAGTACGAGAGACTATGGACTCTGAGAAACAAACTGAGGGTTCTAGAGGGGAGGGGGTGGGGGATGGGTTAGCTTGGTGTTGGATATTAAAGTGGGCATGTATTGAATGCAGCACTGGGTATTATACACAATGAATCATGGAACACTACATCAAAAATTAATGATGTATGGTGATTAACATAACATAAAATTTTTAAAAAATGAGTTTTCTTTAATAAAAATTATGTCACAAGAATTTGGCACTACAAAATTCTGTAATATGTCACATGAAGAAGCTATAACATTATATGTTGTAGCAGCAGGTGCTGGGTGTCAGGTCTTCAGATTTTATTAGGGACAATCTGAAAAAATAGTATACTCCAGATACAAGGCATGAAAAGGACCTCATGAATGGCAGTTAAAATAGATAACAGGCCAAAAACAAGGTGAAATGTAATAGTTCAAGTTGCCTCTACATTTTGGTAAATAATAGAGCTATCTGAGAAAAAATATTTTTACTTTGAAGAAAGGTAAAAATTACATTACTTTAAAAACATGAACAGATGCATGATGTATGCAACATACTTTCAAAGGGTTCAGAAAACAGGGACATATATGTAGAGAGTAAAAGATCAGTAGAGAAAGCATGCACAGATGATAAAGCAAATGGAACAAAATGCTAATAGGTAAAGCTAGATAAAGAATACATGTATGTTCTTTGTACTATTCTTTAAACTTTAATGAAAGTTTGGGATTATTTCCAAATAAAAAGTTTACAATGATTAAACGTGTGAAAAGAATGGGGGGGAAGAAGGTAGAGGCTCTTGATAAGCTATTTTTCTACAGTTAATGTCTGAGATTAACTAAATGTCCATATAAATCCTTGATTAGATAACCGTTCTTGTTAATCAAAAATATGAGACCATTCCTCAGAATGGTCAAAATCAGACAACTGAAACTGCTAATTTTTATCATATATGATGGGGTTTTCCATTTTTTCAGTAAAAATACAGAACTTTATTTGTTGGGGTTATTTTTTAAAGATTTTATTCATTTATTTGACAGAGAGCAGGAGAGAGAGAGAAAGCGACAAGTAGGGGGAGCAGCACAGAGAGAGGGAGAAGCAGGCTCCCCACTGAGCAGGGAGCCCGATGAGGGGCTTGATCCCAGGACCCCGGGATCATGACCTGAGCAGAAGACGGACGCCTAACCAAATGAGCCACCCAGGAGCCCCTTTTTTACTAGTTTTAAATTAGCAACATAATTTTCTTTTTGTAGTTCAACTATTAGAATGGACTCAATCTAAATCATCCATGGTTGGGGCACCTGGGTGGCTGAGTCAGTTAGGCAGTTAAGCATCTGCCTTCGGCTCAGGTCATGATCCTGGGGCCCTGGGATCGAGCCCCATGTCTGGCTCCCTGCTAGGCAGGGAGTCTGCTTATCCCTCTCCTTCTGTCCCTCCACCCCCAGCTCATGCTCTCTCTCTCTCCCTCGCTCTCAAATGAATAAATAAAATCTTAAAAAAAATAAATCATCCATGGTAAGAGAAGTTCAAAGTTATCAGGTTAATAATAAGAGTTAAAACAGTTTGGCAATAAAGTCTAATTCTTTTCCAATTCCTTCATTTCATTCAGAATTAGAACTTTTGAGGATACTAATTCTAAATTAGGTTGCTTAATAGATAATAAGAAATGATTTATCATTATTATTTCTTTTAACAAAAACGCCTAGAGGATCCTAATACAAATCTCATTGGAATGTTTGCACTAACTACAGATCTTCTACCATGCTCTTAGGTCATTCTCTAATGTTCTTGAAGAGAACACACATTCTCAGATAGTTAGACATGTGCCTGCTACACTTTGACTTGATTTGGCAACCAAGGTATTGCGATCTGTCTAACTTTGAGTGTGATGGCCCTGGACAGGGACTGAATGCAATTCTATTCTCTGAAAAGAACACAGCCAATTCTGGTGCTCTATAAATATGCAATCATAATAGAACCTTAGGGCTAGAAGGGACCTTGAGAGGTCCTCCAGTCTGCCTTGCTCCCTTATATCATCCTACACTAAATGTATCTTATAAAGACCTATGGAAGGAGGTGCCTCAATTTTCACAAATGAGGTTTACCAACAGTCACTAGCTACAGTCAGGAACTAGTTCCCTACATTAAACTCAAATGTATGGTACTATAGTTATGCATACAGTACAGACCAACAACACCTGCTGACCATACTTGGCATAACAGTTCTTCACAGACTTGAAGACACTTAAAAACTCCACAACTTTCCATCACAGAAAATGATCCCAGGACCTTTCTTTATCTGTCTAATTTTCCAACTGTTTATTATCTGAGGGGCCCACTCCAATATTTTCTATGTTATTTTTAGAAATGGTAGCCCTAATTGCACCCAGAGGTGGACATTAGTAGATTCTTCCAAAATCTAACATGAACCAACGTGTACCCAATCTTATTCATGATATGTAAAGCTGAGGAGGTCACTCTTTTTTCTTTTCTTCCTTATTTCTGCTCTGAGTACATTTAATATTCTTTACACACATTAATTTTTATTTGAGTTATTACTCTTATTTTCTGGTCCTTTGAAGACACAATATGATAAATCAGAGAGACCTCCAATTTGGGCATCTGATGAACCTAGATTCAAATCTGAGCTTTTCCCTTTTCTAGTTGTGATTACTAAGCAAGTTTTTGAATCCCTATGTACCTCAGGTCTAATCGAGATAAAGTTTATGGAACAGTTAGTATAGGTTGAGCATGTACTAGGAATTAAAGAAATATTACTGCTCTGATAATAATAATAATTATTATTGAGAATGCCAGCAAGTCTCTTTCTCCAGTGTATCAAACTCTGGCTTTGCTGCCTCGGCTCTTTAAGATGACCTCACACACCTATGGCCCAACATGGCTGCGTCAGTTCTGCTCCCAGTTGTCATCTGAACTTCTGATATAAAGACCTGATTGAAAAAAAAAACAAAAAAACCTGATTGCCATTCCAATCCAGTTCCTTCTGGCTCTTGGGACTCGATTTTGCCTCTTATTTTTGGCCTTTTTTTCTTTTGACTCTTTTTATTTATATCTGAACTTACGTTCCTCTGCTTTGAGCCTTAATGTTTTCTGAGTGTTTAGGTTCCAATGCACTCTTTTGCTCTGTCTCTAGAAGAGAAAATACCTGTCTATGTTACCCAAGCTCTAAAAAGAATTCAGGCAGTAATACAAGACAGAAACTTCAAAGATAATGCACTTCATTATTAGCACATTATTTAACAGTATGAGTTAAACTAACTATGGTTTAAATCCCAGTGTTGCTATTTATTATCTGTGTGACTGCAGAGAGGGTGTCTAACCTTTCTGAGTGTCCGTCTGTACACCTGCATAAGAAAAATAAATATGCTTTGTTGTAATGATTACATGGGACTTGCAGTAAGAACACTGCTGCAGAAGTTAACAGGTTCCCTCTAAGTCATCATTTTCCCTCCCCTTCCCTTCTGGGGTGGGCGGGTGAAAAACAAGAACAAATATATTCTGAATTCTCTATGCTTGGCAAAACTAGAAACCAGATATTATTCATAGATCTCAAAATATGTGGAGAGCTGTCCAAAAGCAGATGAGATCATGAAGAGCCACTTGGTAGAGGGTGACAAAATGCATGAAGGTTAAGAGGTCTCAATAATAGCTGAGCTCAACAGGCACCAGCCAAAATATACCTCCTAAAGGTGGGAGACTCATTCTGAAGCATGAAGTCTATATGCTTTGTTTGAAACAATGGAAGTGGGGACAGTCTAAGTGGCCACTGGCAGAAGCCTTCCTAGACATAGTTTGTTCAAAGAAGCAGAAGAGGCAGTGGTAATTAAAGAATAACACAGGACTTCAGTTCCTTAAAGAATACAGAAGGTTATAAGAGACAACTGCCTTCACCTTAACAAATAAAGCAAGCTGGAGAAGCGACAAAATCATCATTCTTAAAACCTAACAGAGAGCTGATGGCACAAAGACACTCAAGTGAAACATTCCAGAAAATCCATGAGCATTTCCTAATAAAGAAGAGACCCATGGTTGTTCTCATTCCTGAAGGAGTAGAATAAGCCTCCACAGACATAGGTAAGAAGAAACCAGCCAAACTTCTAACAAACTTTTGGGTCCGCATCAGTGCTGGCACCACATATGAGGATTTCAAAGAACCTAAGCCACAGAGTGAGGTATAAGGTTCACTAACCAACGCTTTCCTATGAGTCATCACTGAGTGCTCAGGACATGGTA